AAAATCAGTTGCATATTAAGATACTAAAAACGGTCGCTATCCTCTTAAAGACGTGTAATTCCGCTTGAAAGTGAATTTTTCTCCTTTCTAATTTCTCCCCCTCGCTGAGAGGCTGTTTCATTTTTGGCTTCCTATCTAACAGTATAACAAAAAGTGCTTTGGGAATTAATTAATTTATTTATAATTACTCCGTTAATGCCAAATCAGGCATACTGAGGAGGTTGATTTTATATATGCACATAAAGCAAAAATAACCGACTATGTAGTAGATGGCCAAATCTTCGAGGTATTCTGCAGCAGCAATTTTTCCTAGTAAAACTTGCACTTTGTATTCCAATTATCACTTAGGCATGATTTTAATAATCCCGCGACTGATTGGGTCCGACTGGGATGTAGGTTTATATTTCCTTAAAAAGATATTTACTGGCATGTGAAAATTTAGGCGAAGAAGAAAACAGAACACCCAAATAATTTAAATTCTTTACGAAAGCAATGCAATCACTTCCGCGCATAAATTTTTTTATCAAGAGAGCTACCAAATCTAGTGAATACCAAAGCCGCTATTTTTTTAGGATTAGTCAAAAAGCTATTTGCAAAATATTTATTAAGTTAATTTTTCTTGAGATTTGAACTAAGAAAGTGATGACAACACAAAATTTGCGTACATAGATAAATGAAAATCATTACTTGCATATAATGATAATCTGATTGTAAAAAGTTGCTTGATGTTGTAGACGAGGAGGGAAAATAATAAAGGACATTACTTCTCCCTGTAATACCACTTCAGATACCGGAATTCCTATGAAGCTTTGAGCTTTAATTTAATCTACCATATTTGTCACTACCAGTTGCTCTACAGTTAAATTAGTCTATTTAGACGTTTTTCAACTCAATTTTTGTTTACAGTTTTTTCTATATTGTAAAATATTATTTGATTAATCTAGATTACATTGGTTCTGAACTAAGTGAAAATGTTAAAAGTGGAGATGAACGAACAGTCAACTTATATACAGGGTGTTCAGCTACTCGTGTTACAAACTTTGCCTGTAGGTTCTACATTCAAAATGGAAGAAAAAGTCCTAATTAACTATGGTCTGAATCAGCAGTTTCGGAGTTATTCCGCTTTTTCTTATTTTTTAAGATTTCACGATCTTGCTTCAAATAAACAACGATAACTTCAAAACTAAAAGGTTTTGGACAAATCCGTTGATACCATTGAAAACTACGTTAAATTTCCAATAAGATGCGATCAGTACTAAACTTGTACACGTCCGTGAAATAAGCGATTTAGTAGCGAGACTTCAAAAAAAAATTGATGTTGAAAAAATTACTAAGGTGATTTTAAACTACTATTTTCATACCTAAAGACCAGCAAATTTCAGCACACGTATTCCATTTAATACCCTTTTTAGTAGTGCAATTACTTTTTTTTATTACTTTTTTCAAAGATGAAGAAATTGATGGAGGAAAGGAAAAAAACCACCTTACCATTTTTTTTTTGACCAACGGTTTTTCCTTTCCTTTATCAATTTTTTTATCTTTAGACAAATTAATTTAAAAAAAGTAATTGCACTTCTAAAAAGTATATTAAATGGAGTGCGTTTTCTGAAATTTGCTGGTTTCTAGGGTGGAAATACCATAGTAAGTTGAAAAACAAATAAAATATAATTAAAAAAATAATAATATATATTTTTCAAAGTTCTCGCTACTAAAACGCTTATTTCACGAACACATTTACCAGTTTAGTATTGATCACATCTCATTGGAAATTTAACGTAGTTTTCAATGGTATCAACGAATTTGTCCAAAACCTTTTAGTTTTTGAGTTATCATTGTCTATTTGAAGCAGGGTCGTGAAATCTTCAAAATTCAGAAAAAGAGGAAGAACTCCAAAACTATAGAAATTCGGAACATAATTAATTAGGACTTTTTGGTTCCATTTTGAATGTAGAATCTACTGGCAAAGTTTATAAACGAGTAGCCGAACACCCTATATTATAATACAATAGTAGTAAATAGTCTATAAGTGTACGATTTTTGAACTTGATTGTTCCATAGACATTCTTCGTCCTAGACCTGCTCAAATTCAAAGATAATTTTATATTGCCTGGCAAATATTTCGAAATAAACGAGATCCAAGAAAACTTTCAAAAGATTAAACTCCAGTTTTTCTTTTTTTTTCAAATTATTACTATTATTTAGCATTCTTTTCAAATTAAATATTTCGCGAAAAAATATATAATTTGAAATTATTTTATCTATATGCCTTCTTCATGGAATGGTTATTTTACCTATTGATTGCTATTGTTGATATACAAAAAAGGCGAAAACCATTCCTCCTGATATATCGACCCAGATCCCAGACAATTAATGAAACGTGTTTGGTAGTTTATGGATTATTCCACCAATGTTGTCGATGAATAGGATTAAAAAAAGCAGTAAAGTACAGCACGTACGACTCCTCCACTAAAAAGGATGTGATCGATTGAATCTTTTTCATAACCCAGAAACATTCGACCTATCTAAATTTAAATAACAAAAGTCTTTAGAAATAGACAAATTGTACTGTTAGCAACCCATCCATGTTACATAAAAAAAATGTTCGATGTCAAACAGTTTGAGAAAGGTAACTGGTAAAATTAATCTTTCTCAGTTAACTCCTCTAGTCCATTGGACGCAATTGTAAAAGTCCAAAGATTCATTGAGCCTCGGTGGCCGCAACTGTTAAGGTGATCATTAGTGTAAGGTAAAGGTCCCGGGTTCGAATCCAGCGGCCCCAGATTCCGACAGGCAAATGGGTTTTTTCATAAACACCTACACTCCCAGAGTTGGTATATCGTCAAAAAATAAATAAGTACTTTCAATTAATTAAGGTTTTTAGTTGAGATAAAGAAGTCAGTGTCACGAGCAGGATTCGAACCCACGATCTTCGGCTGGATACGCCGCTGCTCTACCACTTGAGCTATCCTGACTTCGATCCACTCGGACACTAACCCATCTCAACCCAACCTTTCGAATCCCACTTGTGACACTGACTTTTTTTATCTCAACTAAAAACCTTAATTAATTGAAATATATTAATTGGTCAAGCGGACCACGAAAACTAGTGAATAAATAAGTACGTTTACATGATATTTATGCCAGATAAAAATCGGGGCTAATGTAAACAGTAAAGAATTTATGTCAGAGATATATATTTCATCCACTAGATATTTATGTCATCACTTCTATACCAGCAGATGTAAACACCGGTTAGTTTTAAATTCAACGTTTTCGACACTTGTCGCAGAAGTTGGCCATTCGTCTACTTTTCTGCCATGCAATAAGTGTCGCGTAAATTTGGAGACAAAAAAAAGAGTGGTTTAATTCTAAAATTTAAATCTAAAAAAAATTAAAATTACAATTTTTATTTAACAGTAGTACCTGCTTACCAGATTCTAAAAATAGCAAAGGTACTGCAAGTGGATCTGTTACACTAATAGCTTTTTTGAATTTGGTATCTTGCTTTGATATAAGAGGACCAATTTTACAAGCTGTAGACAACACTAATAACTTACTCACCAGGGGCATAAATGTTACCCTATGCTGGATCAAAGGACACTCTGGAATAAGGGAAAACGAGAAAGTTGATCGCTTTGCAAAGGAAGTGGTCATTGACGGTGAGTGGTGCGATTACGCAATGATCAAAAGTGACTGCCAACGTGTACTGAATCATAGGTGGATTTTGGATTGGCAAGAGTTCCATAATTCTGCTGATGGAGAAGTAGATTTCCTTTGGTGCCGAAAGAACCGTGGTTTCAAGGTGTCAGGGCACCTCTCTAGAATACGAAGCAACCATGGTCTGGTCAGAATCGGGCTTAAGGAGTCCCCCAATTGTGCAACATGCGGCTACCAGAAGATTTAAACCATATAGTAATGGAATGTCCAAGGTTTGAAAACGCAAGAGGTAAACTGCTAAAAGGTATTGATGTCCTAACCGGTCCGGACAGACCTTACTCTCTTGAGACGATGGTGGCCTCGTAGAACAAGGAAGTGTATGCGCTGCTATTTTGGTTTCTGAAGGCATCTAATCTGAAAATATAACTTTAGATCTGCAAGATGAACTTTTGTGGTAACTTACCAATAAATGGAAGTATGGGGGGGGAGACGTCGGGTCTCGGCGCCTTATTTACTCGGTCCTCTCTCCATCAATAAAAACTGCATGGCTAATGCCTTAAGGCAAAGTAAAAAAAAATTTACAAGCAAGCTTTTCAAAATCTGCGGGTTTCACTCTTCAAAAGAAAATTGAATACTCTTCAATACTGAACTCAGACATTAATTGATTTTAAGCACCCACTTTTTCACGTCTCAAAACCCGGTCTCGAACCCATCTAGGACTTTTTTCTTCCTTTTTGTTTTTAAAATTTTGCGTCTCAATTTCAAGATAAAATCAACAGTGAGCAGAATGAATGAGATAGAAGTAAATAGGGCACGATTGTACACAAAAATCTATCGTGGTTGCAAAAGGGTCATATATTTCCATGTTATAAATTTCTAGTAGTTTCTATCAGTATGTAAACAGTCAAAGCGATTTTCTGTCACTCGACATATATTTCCGGACAAAATGTATACTGAGGTCTATTTGAAAATAAAGCTTCGACCTGTGGAATAAAATATTATAGTAATTGGTTGACTATTGTGTTTTCTGTTTTATTTTTAAAAATTAAAGAATCTGAATTAAGTAGCTTTCAGTGAAAAAAATGGTATTGCTTCAAAGTGTAGATGGTGAAGAAAAATCAGTTCTACTATTCTGAACCGAAAAAACAACTACTTAAACAAGCTTCAATGAGGTATACTTTTAAAAGAAGAGTTTAATATTTTACATAATGTATATATTGTATTTTGGCGATGCTTTCTTAAGAGCTAAAGCCCGTAATGGATGGCTGGCACTGCCTGTCACCATTTTCGTATTGACTTCGACTACACCTCAGTCTGGATAGTGTTGGCCGAATGCGGATCCGTGAAGGGTAAACAGGGTCGAAATCATGGGAAATACGGAAAGCAATGTGACAAGTGGTGTCAAGAAGCAGGCGGACACCTCTTCAATTAAAATCTACAAACTGGTCGACTTGAAAGGTAAAAGGGCTCGTCGCCGACGCTCGGAAATTAGATTTCTGTCCCTTGTTCGTTCAGCTTTCCGGCCATGGAGGCGGGGTGAAATGGAATCAGTTCAGCAATATTATTTCCCACTTGTCGTCCGGTGGTTAAAAGCAAAAGGAAATTGTATCAATTCATTTGCTGCTTAAATTTAACCATGATCAAAACGTTACATTTTTAAAAATTAAGTTTTAATATTTAAAAAACTAACTTTTAAAATCGAATTCAATTATACAAAGAACATTTTATATTTTATAAATTATCAGGTTCTTCAGATATTTAATTTACCAAAATGACTTTTCATTAATGAACTGCTCAAAAATGAATAGGAGTATTGCCAATTTTGTAGTATTTACTTTCCCTAGCATTTTTATTTTATTTTTATTTTAAATTGCATTAAAATGTATTAGAAATTTTTAAGTTTTTTACTGAAGGAAAATTTAATTAAAGGATTTTGAAAAATAACAAAACAAAAGATTTTAATTCCATAATTTTGTTTATTGGACACATAATTTTCTTTAAACAATTAATGCCATGTCTAATGACCTCTGTTTGCTAAAACCTCTGTGCAGGTATTCAGCATATTGCTAACAATGTTGTCACTGATTTCATGAGGAATTTCACTCCAAAGACGTTGCAACGCTGCACCCAGTCAGGTGCAACTGGCTATGGATGGTGATTGAAAAGCCTTCTTTGCAACACATCCCATATGTGCTCGATGTGATAGAGGTCTGGAGACTATGAGGAGGGCAGAGGGGAAATTCCCAGGTTTTCTAAACGATGATGAACAACTCTACCTCTATGACGTCTGGCATAGTCTTCCAGAAATCGAAAATCCCTGCCAATGATATCCCTGGTTTGAGGGATGTATTCCTTGATAATTTCTTGGACATAACGGACTGCGGTGAGGTTGCCTCCAACAATATGGCGTCCAATTCGTCCTCCAGTGTAAATCCCAGCACAGAACTATTACACTGCCTCCTTCAAACTGCACTGAAGGGAGCATGAACTGGAGCATCATATGCAGCTCCTGTTCTTGGTAAACTCTTTGGTGCCTGCTATAACTATACAGGCAGAAATGTGTCTAATCAGTAAACATAACAGCATTCCAAATGGTGTTCTCTTCTAGGTGCTCGCTGCACCATATTCTCCTGAGTTGCTCATAGCAGGCTGACGCTGCAGGGATATGATGTGAGGCCAACTTCCCATAAACGATTATGAATCATTTGTGTTGATAATGGCCTTGCCAAAACATCTTGTCCTTTAATTAGAATCTGCCAAGCAGTATGGAAATGGTTCCATCTTGCTGCAATGACAATATTTCTGTCCTCCCTTAGAGTCATAATGCGCTAAGACACCTAGGCCTCCTATTGGCACTTCCAGTCTTGCAGAATTGGGCTAAAGCCTGGGAGACCACGCTCTGAGTAATGCCAACTGCTTCTGCGATATCCATTTGTCAGAGACCTCGATGACTCATTCTTGTGAACTTCTGGTTCTATATATTATCTTTCCATGGTTAAAGAGAATACAACTGGACAAAAATGGAGAAAAGAAGAAAAGCTGTTTGTTTACAAAATATTCATTTTTACTATTCTTAACTAAATCCATTATTAAAAATGAGATTTAACATTTGTTTGTTTTTGGTTTATTGTTTTTATTTACTTATTTATCCAACTAGCAAGAATATGTCAGTTAATTTAGTTAAAATTAATAGAATAAAAATAAATTGCAAATTCATTTTTGAGTAGTTTATTTACACACTCAAAAAAAAAAAAAAAACTGCTTCTCATATTTTGTTGTTTGTTTCAAATTATATAGTAGAATTAACGCTGAGTGTTGATCTGCAGTCAGTGAACTTATGCTGAACTGGCACAATACACCGAAAAATCTTTCAATGATATATATTAAAATTTAATTAACAATTTTCTATACTACATGATTTTTCAGAGTTTTGGTGAATTTTCTTTCAAACCATCAAAATTAAATGATTTTTATTAACACACATGAATTTCTGATCTCGTTTAATTTGGTTTACATTAACAATAATAGGTTGTTATTAATATAATGATAAAAATACATGTAGTTGGAAATGAACAACAAATACGGGTATCCAATATTTTTGTCTTTGCTTATACATTTTCTTTTCAAATTTTTTTTTTTAACACAATTCATTTATTAAAACTGATCAAATGCAACCATCTTTTAATTTTACACTGGCTAATAAATAAAATAATAATAAATACACTTATGTCCATTCATTAGTGTCATATTTACCCAGCTGAATGGTTTGGTTCTCTCAATATGTTGCCGACAATAAACCCTAAGTGTGCCGGTGTTTTTGAAAAAAAAAAAAAATTGTAAGTATGTCGGGGTCTGCTGGATTCGAACCCGGGACCTTTACCTTACAGTGATGAGCACCGTGTCAACGCCTAAACCATTGCGGTCACCGATGCCCCCCAGTTAGTAGGCTGTTGTTTGGTGTATAGGTGTATAGTATATAACACATTTCTTAGTATTTTATTTTGAAATGATTGTACTTGGTAATATTACTTCTTTTGGTACAGCCCCAGAGTTGTACAATTTGCATATAGGTTTAAAAATATGATTATAAATCATGATTTTTGATAAACAGCAATTCCTTTCAAGCAATCAATAAGGTTGTCGGTATTTGAAATCATTCTTTCCAATTAATTTTTTACCTTATGTCAGCCTGAAATATTTTACTGAATTCTAAGATTGTACTACGTTATCCTTGAAGATTATTTGTTTGTATACTAATTGGCTATTTGTGAAGTTAATTTGTTTATTTTGATCTTCTAAGTATCTGTCCAGTCATGAATGCCAATGATTGTCATTGTCAGTTTGTTGATGTGTTGATACATTTTTCCACTGAGAGGGGCAACTGTGGTCATTATCCTGAACTTTTACAATTGCAGCTTCTAAGTCAAGAGGCAGGAATGAAAAGTAAATTTGAGAGTTATCTGCTTAAAGGTGATGGAAGCAATATTTTATGGATTTTGGGAAGTCAATAATGCAATAGTATAAAGTAATGTGTAAAATAATTTTCTTAAAGTGCTATGTTTCTTTCAATTTTACATGTTTGTTATTTTGTAATTATTAGTGCCTAATTATTGTGTCTGTTAGTGTCTAAGGATTCTCTTTATTAATTTTTTGGCCATCATCTTCTCATAATTTATAAAAATAAATTCATTATTGCTTTTGAAAAAGAAGGAACAAAGTATAACATGCTTGTAGATAAGGGGTAATAAATCGAATAAATAAAGATTAATATTTAACAAATTGATTTTTTAGGAGGAGGCCTGCTTGTCGAACTGATGAAAAGGGCTGCACAGACTAAGCAGTACGCAGAACTGGATCATGCAATAAAAACAAAAGTTGAGCCATTTCTTTACAACAAGGGTAAAGGGAAGTTAATACCAATAAGCCAGCTTGTTCTCATGAGGAACAAAGAGAGACCAAGACACAAAATGGTACATCACGATATACTATAAACTTTTGGTTTGGATTTCACGATTCCAAAAATTTTGCATTGTTTATTGGTTCTTTTGACTTTTGATTTTAAAATCTTTCTGAACTTTGACAGTTGCCGCCTTTAAAAAATTTGGAAAATCCGGACGATTACGATATCGAATCTTATCCCGCCCCAGAGATAAAAGACGAAGATAAAGTTGGTGAGTTTTCTGTTTGGATTTTGGATTGTTTTGAATAGCATATTTATTGTTCTTTTCTTGAAGACATGTCAAAATACAGAGATGTCTGTTGGGATTTGAAAGAAAGGGGTGCAGTCGGTGAAACGATTCTACACCTTTGTCTTCTTAATGCAACTTCAATCCATGCTGATCTAGCCAAACGACTATTGCGATTCTACCCTAAGCTTATTAATGACGTATATATGTCTGATGAATATTATGGTGTCTACCATTTATGTTTATTATTCTGGGCATATTTGTAATCATTTATAAATATTTTTAATTTTTTTTCAAGGTGAAAATGTTCTTCATATTGCAATTGTCAATGAAGATCCTGCAATGGTTAAATTTCTCCTTGACAGCGGTGTTGATTTTCATGAAAGATGTATTGGCAATTTTATGTGTCCTGAAGATCAGAAAGCCTCCCGGACAGATTCCTTAGAACATGAATATGTCAACTTGTCTCCTTTCACCAATTATGAAGGGTAAAAATCATTTTTTTTTAATTGATAATTTTTTAAAGTTTTGTCTTATAGGTATGTCTATTGGGGTGAATATCCGTTATCATTTGCCGCATGTCTTGGCCAAGAGGAATGCTACAGGCTGATGCTAGCAAGGGGTGCGAATCCAAACAATCAAGACACAAATGGAAACACAGTACTTCACATGCTAATTATCTACTCGAAGCTTGTAAGTCCGAGTTGATCATTCTCAACAAAATAATACAAACAATTTTAATTTTCAGCCTACATTTGACATGGCGTATGAAGTAGGTGGCGATTTATCAATTAGGAATATACAAAATTTAACGCCACTCACACTGGCTGCAAAACTGGCAAGGATTGAGTTATTTTTTCATATATTAAACATAGAAAGAGAAATTTATTGGCAAATAGGTAAGAAAAAATAGACATACCAAAAATTTTGTAAAAAGGACATAAAATTTATTGTCTCAATGCACTAAACTATAAAAACCTAGAATGTTGGAAGAATAATAGAACAAATGTAAATGATTGGTTTTACCTAAGTGTGTAATTTTGATGTACATAATATATATTAGTAAAAAAAGGCTGCATATTTTTTCAATACTCATGTTCAAGTTTAAAGCAATGGTAAAAAAAGTGTAAAAAATATTTTTTTTATATTGTTAAACAATAAATTTGTATCAAATTTACATGAAAACAAATTTGGATTGTGCCTGAAGGCTAAATAACAACATGAAAGTTATAATTAACAAAACACATAATGAAAAGGTCTGCATACAATACAAAATTTGTGACAAAATTATTATCATGTGAAATTAATAATGAGAGAAGCCTCCTTTATTTTCGAGTACTTCATGAAGTCAGTTTTTCATTGAAGATACTAACTTTTTGGCCAGACAGAATTGAGATTTGGCCATTCTTTTTTGACTTGTCAGATATTTTTTGTGCCACGAGTTTTCAATCTTTTCTTGATTTCTTCCCAGAGATTTTCAATAGGGTTAAGGTTTGGTGGTTGTGGGGGTAGTTTTAGTAGGCAGGGAGTGTTGTACAATAATCACACAATGTTGTGAGTTGGATCTTCAGGAGGTCAAATGACGGATGAATTTAAAGAAACAAGGAAAGAGCTTCTGGGTACAGCCGAGCTTTCGGAGGATGGCAATGTAAATCGCCGAAAGCTCGGCTGAACCCAGAAGCTCTTTCCTTGTTTCTTTAAATTCATCCGTCATTTGACCTCCTGTAGATCCAACTCACAGCATCATATCCTGCAGGTCGATAACCTCAACTTCATCCTAATCACACAATGTTTTGGGTCGTCTTATTAGAAAACAAAATTTACAAGAAGTACAATTTTCTGGGCACTGGGCTTTAAATTTACTCTAAGAATATCTATATAAACATTTTGGACCGTGATTCCCTTAATAACTTTTAATTTTCCAATCCTTGATGATGCCATACACCCCTATACTATTATCTGTCCCCTGTCTGCTTCACTGTTTTACAATTTTTTTTTTTTTAATTTCACAGCTTCATTTTTTTACACACTAACATTCCCATCAGTAAAGGAAGCATTAAATTTTGACTAAACTCTCTTTTTTCTATTAACTTCACCGATGTAGGGTTTTTTAAGGGGAAAACCACATTTTTTAATGATATTATGAACTGCTTGAAGAGTTACATGAATCCCTATGAGGAAGGGGCATTAATAGAAGACCACCAGTTCATGAAGATGAATAATTTGCTCATGATGTCTCTAGTTTCTTTGGCCACCCCAATCGGTGCTTATTTTCCAAACTTTTTTTTTTTTTTTTTTTTTTTTTTTTTTTTTTTTTTTTTTTTTTATACTAATTTGTACAGTAGATCAAAAATTTCAAATTTTNTTCATACGTGTGATGAGTTGGATAATAATTTGTACAGTAGATCAACTTTTGCGAACAATTTTCCAAGATTACGGTGTTGCAATGTTAATCACCTCCTAATTTCAACTAGCACCTCGATTATAATAAAATATTTATAAGATTATTGCCTTTTACGGTTGATTTTTAAATATTACTAATTAAATTTGAAAATAAAAAGAGATATGAATAGTTTATGGTTGTTGAAAAGGAATTAAACCAAAGGTGTATTAAAGCTTATATTCCATAAACAAATGTTTCATCGTTAAATTTTTTTTAAATATTTAATATCCATTTTTCAATCCAAAACATACAAATATAAAGTTTTTCTTAGTTGTATACTACATAACAAATAATTTCTTTTTATTTCAAAATGAAAAAATATTGTTTTAGGGGTGTATGCAGACTTCTTTTACTAACTCCAGACTATTGATATTTTTTTACCAATCTGCTTGTAAAAAAGATTCACATGCATTAATATAATCGGTTTAAAATTGTATATTTACCTTGGAATTTGAGATTAGTAGCTTTTCACTAATCATCTTTAAAATCACCATCAGAAGTTCATTTACAAGTAACATCTATTCTACATGTTACGAATATATTGTTAATCTAATAAATTTATTAACTAAAACATAAATTGATCTTAACAAAATATTTATTTCACAAAGAACAGATTTTTTTAAAAACAATTATTTCTGGGGGAGGGGTTCAGTTGAAAGGCTTAATTGATTTAATACTTGTAAGTAAAGATGTTAATCCTTTGTACTTTGGGTTAAATTTGTACGATGTCAATATCAGATAACTGGCAAGAATGTATCCAGCTAAAACAAAGGCACGATTGAATGTGAAAATGCTTCCGATTGATGAGTGTTTGGCTGAAAGAATTTTCTCCGGTTTGAGTTTCGACGGTGTTTTTGCATATATCAGCAGGTACCTGAGTTGTATGAGATGCGTGTCTGTCACACAGTAATATTTATTTTCTTGTGACTCTGCGCTTTCATTGCCAGTATCTGCATCGGTGTAGCAAATAACATCAGGATGATTTACTATAAATTCAACAATGATCGCTGTTTGTAGTTCGACACCAAATACACTCTTCCCCCATACCCATTTAGGAGAAGAATTATCCAAACAAGATTTCAAGTTGTTTGTCAGATAAACGCCAAACCCTTTTGGTCCGTTGATTTTTTGAAAAGGGTACAACCCGACACTGGTCAATGAATGCAGTTGTTCCACCTCACCGCAATAAAACGCAAACTTTGTTTCCAGTTCCGATTTGCCAGCCATCAATTTTTCCTTTGTTGCCATCCACTGTAAATGGTTTGGGGACGTCTTATTGACCATTGCTCTAAATATGTAATTGGGCAAAATTTCATATGGTTGAAATGACTCGACTTTCTGCAAGATTTCTGGAAATTCTTGTGGTCTAACATCGACATACCTAGGCCCTGGTAATCTGAGAAGCCAATGGATTACACTTATAACGTGCTTATTTATATCATCAGAGTCCTCTTCCAAATTTTTCCGAAGCAGTGCCAAAGGAGGAATCTGGCTGTTTAACAAGAGCAAACACTGGAGACCCTCAAAGGAAGCTTCAACAATATGCTCTGGAAATGGCTTGAGATGACCTGCATTACAAGCTGCGATATACATGGATATTTTCAAATCTAAAACATCTAGATCCTTCTGCAAGACTTGCAGAATATCCTTTGCCTTCAATTCGTAATTAACACACGGTTGAAGCTTCGCCATTAGTTCGTGTTCTGTTAAACAGTTTTTCTTGGAGTTTAAATTGTCTTGTAGCAAAACATTCTCCGGTAACATCTGAAAGCTTTGTGTTCCTTCCACCAAGTCACTTGTGCTTTCGTGTGGTGTAGTTGCCAGCTCCTCGCCTCTTTCTGCAGCCTCAGTTTCCAATTCCATTTGCATACTTGCTACAGAACAATATTAAAATCATCGTGTTGTGTATGAAATATTTTTAAAAATTTAAACAGTACGGTACTTACAACTTTATTAATTTCGTTCTGTAGTTGAGTTTTCAGCCAAACAATTGCATCTTTCTTTTTATTTTGGAAGTAGTTAACCCAAAATAATTTATTGCTTTTTCTGTCTAATTCTAAAACTGCATTAAATAAATTACTATGGCAATCAAAGAAAATTAATCAATTAGCAACATATGATTATTAATGGCTACTGAAATACTATGAAAAGTATTTAATGTCTTATTGTTGGATTAAATTTCTGATTTATTATTAATAAAACTACATCATAATAATTTTAAACAATTAATTAAACTTTTAAGGTAGTATAACGTGTGCGGCTTATCCCCTTTCGCAAATTGACACAATAGATATTGAAACTGGGAACATAAGCAAAAATTCAGCTCTTAACCTTGTGGTTTTTGGGGTAATAAAAAAAATACATTTTCTAACTGATCTATGATATGCTAATGATTAAACATTTGATTATGTGTTTAAGGAAAAAGATGAACATTTAGAATTAATGGATGGTGTTTTAATTGACTTGTTGAATGCAAAATGGAATGCATTTGTTAAAAACAGGTTTGGAATATTGTTTTTACGGCTGAGTAAATAAATTTTAATATTAAATTTTTTTTAAGGTTTTACAGACAGTTTTTTCTTTTTCTTTTTTATTTTTTGATATCGTTAGTGTGTTTTACACTCCGGCCAGGACCATTACCGCCTAAGCCAATCGAGGCTACAAGTCGACCAAATACAACGGTAGACGCTCTTAATACGACTGATTTGGACATGTATTCTACATTAGATTATACAAGCACTCCCATGTGGGATACAAGTTTGGAAAACAATGATTCAACCGATACTAAGCTTACAGAGCCGAAAATAGGACTAATAGACCTCGAGAGCCCTGGACCGATTGTGAATCTTGACGAAACCGAGAACAAGCAGTTGTGCTTGGACGGCCTCATCAAATCTTCATGTAAACAACCATCTGGAGTTATGAAAGGAAAAAGCGCAAAAAATACAGATGTGTATTTCAACATGTCATTCCAGTTACATCGTGTAAGTACAATGATTTGTTAACAAACAACAGTTGGTTTTTGCATGCATTTTTTTTATTATTTTATTTTAAAAGGGAAGGGTTGAAGAATGGTGGGACGATTGGGGGAAGTGCCGGCTCCTTCAAATGACAACTCTTGAAGAAATGGTGCGCCTTGCTGCTGAATTCCTTCTTGAAATTGGTGCCCTCCTGTACATAATCGCTGCTCTCAGGGAAGCAAGATTTTTAGGGTGGAGCATGTTTGTTGAAAATCTGGTATACCATAATTTATAAAAGACTCTTTATCTCTATATATTTAATTTATTTGTATTGTTAGATGACTGCTCCATCACGTGTGATGTTTCTTTTCTCCTGTGTTTTAATGTTGTGCATGCCTTTTCTGAGGTTTTCGTGCAATGAAGAAGTTGAGGATATAATGTCTGTCGTTATAATGCTTACCACAGCTCCATATTTTTTATTTTTCTGCAGGTAAATCATAATGTAATTAAAATTACTATTATTTATAATTTATAAGATTATTTTTCTAGAGGTTTTAAAACTGTCGGTCCATTCGTGGTAATGATTTATAGAATGATCATGGGTGATTTGCTCAGATTTGCCACTATTTACTTAGTATTTGTTATGGGTTTTGCTCAAGGTATGTTTATGTTTTTTTTCTTATTTAAAATTATTGGGTAATAATGAATATAAAATTTTACAGCTTACTATATAATATTTTTATCTTTTGATAATCCTAACACTCCAGAAGGGGTTGATGATTCTGTAAGTAATCCAATACCGAATCCTGTTGAAGCAGTGATGGCAATGTTTTTCATGTCAATGACAAGTTTTGGAGATTATTATCCTGCCTTAGAAAGGACAGACCATGAATTCGGGGCCAAGGTTTTTAAAAATATTTTTATATGGAAAATTAATCTATATATAAATTACTGTAGGGTTGTAATTAGTGAGGAAGCCAGTCAGAGCTTCAAAAGCAGTCCAAAGAAAATAAATTTATGTCGCTCAAATTCACTAATTGCAATTCAACACTGAAGAAATACTGATTGAAAACAAGAAAAAAGTTACAGAAGTCATTTTTATATAATTTATTTGCTCATCCATTCCAGCTATGTTTTGTAATATATATGGCAATTGTGGCAATTCTCCTTGTAAACATGTTAATCGCGATGATGGGCAACACCTACCAAAAGATTGCAGAGACCAGGAATGAATGGCAGAGACAGGTTTGTACCTAAACAAATAAGGGATTTTTTTAAATTATTTATTTAATTATTTATTTAGTGGGCAAGAATTGTGTTGGTTGTTGAAAGAGGTGTGAGCCCGTCTGAGAGATTGACAAAGCTAATGTGGTATTCTCAACCTATGTCCGACGGGAGGCGTGCATTAGTACTCAGGCTTAACCAATCGGTATATATTATACAAAATTCACTTTAAAACTTGAATAATATCCATTTCTTTGGTTATCAGGAGGAGGACAAAGAAGAAATGAAAGAGATTTTAGAGATGAAGCGCGTTCACAATCGCATGGTGCAAAAGCGCAAGCAGAGAGAATTGGAAAAAAATCAGCGCGTTGATTTAGAGAAAGAAAAAATTGAACAGAAGCTCATGTCGTCCAACAACTTACTAGACTTAAATACACCAGCTATGGAAAAGAAAAGAAAAGAAATTGAAGCGTTTAATAAAAGTCTAATGTGACATTCCAACTCAGACCAAATAATTTTTAAAATTTATTTTAAAATGGCTGTGATATATGAAAAAACAATATGAACTAAATTAACACATTTTAAGGATAGTAATTCTTTATAATTGAGAATTAATTATAGAACAGCTTTATTGTTATTCAAATAAAGTATTAAAGATCTCAGGCAAGATGGTGCTTTTCAAAAGTTAATGTTGAAGTTTATTGACAATCACTTTCAAGCACACGGTTTTAGTTAAACAAAAACTTACTTGCAGGACTTCCAAGACAGAATTTATTAGAAACTGTAATAAAGTAATTTTAATGTATGTAGTCGTTTTAATTCATATTTTAATAAAAACTGCATGAAATGTTTAAGTGAGGTTAAAAAATAACCCTAGTTGCATTTTATGGCTCATTAAATCGTTATTGACATGAAATAATGTGGGGTATAAATCTATAGCTTCATTGTCTCTGGTGATTCTGGTTTTATGTGTCAGATATATTTCAACATGTTACAATCTTCAATTTGGCTTGTGTTACATTCACTGTTGTAAATCAGTCCGTAGAAGTGACAAATGAGCAATTTATCAACTGATTGATAATCCCCAGTCTTGTCAGCATATTCTCACTTTATATTACTGTCATAAATCTGAACAACCAACTGTTCATACTTGGCTAAAAACTTAAAGAAAAGAGACAAATGATTTGTTCATAATTCCTGATTGTTATTATTACACAATATTTGTGTCTTTGGTTTGTAAAAAGTTAAAAAACTATCTGAAAACAATTATTATTCCCAACAACTGGCTTCTGTACTGGATCCACAGTAACCAATTTTCTTATGTATCAAAATTATATTTTGGATGCTATATTTGATTGTTGTCAATTGATTCTGTATAAGTAGATTTTCACAAGGCCATTGAAAAAATTGAACTTAACATACTTATTGAGAAGTTAGAATGGAAAAAACGTTTATATTAAATCTTACTTCAATATCTGGAACTATACAGTTTTGGTTGCATATTTATTTATCTGAATGCACCCCAACAGTTAAAATCAAGTCTTTTAGATAATTTCCCTTTTATCTGGTGTGTCACAAGACTCCCATCTTGGTTCTTTTTTCTTTCTATTCTTCATTAATGTTATTCACCTTGTTCTATGTACAAGTTTCTTCTGTTCGCTGATAACCTAAAATTATATACAAAAATTTCTTTAAAAATCTTTCCTACGTTCCAAACTAATAAACTGTACCTTCCTAGTTCCCTAGTTCAGTGCAATTGTCTCAAATCTTTCTCAGAAGTATTAGGTCATTGACTGTTGTTGCTACAATTTCATTCCCTAAGTTTTTCTGTTAGGTTAAATCTCCATTGAGCTGTTGCTTTGCATTTGAAGATATGGGTGGCTGGGTTTCTACCTACTCATTATATAGTCTGCAGAAGGGATCGTTATTATAAATCCCCATGTTATATAGATGTTTTCTCAGATGCTAGTGACCGGTTAATAGTCCTATCACTCCTCTAAGCCTGGCCTTTTCCAACTGCAGCAGAGAGATTGTGCTTAGAGATGGTTGTATTTGCATAGGTTTACTCCAGCACCATTAGAATTTGTCCACTTCTTTTGTGTTATTTGGATACATTCAGTGATGGACGATTCTGTACTTGTTTTTGTTATCCCAAGTTTAGGTTTGGGGCCTATTTATGGTCTTGCAGATCCTCCTCTGACCCATGTGTCTACTTTTTCATTACCCAAAGGCCCAGGCACCTAAGATATCATCAGGTTGTTGTGTTTCCCTAGTTTTTGGAGATTTTGGGTGCATTCACTGATTCGTTTTGATGTGATTTTTTTACATGCTAATGCTTTAATAGCTGCTTGGCTTGGAGGAGAAGTTGAAAGGTTGCATGTTTGCATGCATAATGTTGCCTATTAAAAGCCTATTATGGATTAGCCTGATGTGACCTATTCGCAATCTAGAGAGAATCACAAGTTCTTTTCTCTCAACTTCCTCAGTTAGCCATTCATGTACAACTGGCTTAATTTCTTTCATAATATCTCTACAGACATTCCACCTTGCCACCCACTTTTGTTTGATAATATTTTTAACATAAACGACTATATCATCTGGGTGGAGAGGAAATTGATCTTTGTGGATGGTTTGCAGTGTTCCTTGCCTGTTGATCAGCTTTCTCTCTCTCTCTCTCACTCTCTCTCTCTCTCTCTCTCTCTCTCTCTCACACACACACACACACACACACACACACATGCACATGCGCATGTAATATGTTATAATAATGTAACAAAAGAATAATAATATAATGAAATATTATAACTGCCCTCATAGTTCATTTTTAGGCTATATTTAACTAAATGAACTCAAAGCATAACAATTTTATTTAGTTAAATATGTACTATGTGGGCAGTTATAATATTTCATCATATTACTTTTCTTTTGTTACATTATTATATGTTATTATTATAGGCTTGTTTTGTATATATACATATTCAAAGCATAACAATTTTATTTAGTTAAATCTAGCCTAAATATGTACTATGTGGGCAGTTGTCATATTTTATCATATTATTATTTTTTTTGTTACATTATTATATGTTATTATTATAGGCTTGTTTATATATATATATATATATATATATATATATATATATATATACACACACATTTTTTTTAAATAATTCCAAATCATTATAACAGACAGTGTGTTTAATATTTGTGTTGTTTTATTTATTAGGATTTTATTGTCTTTTTCATTTATATCTTTTTGGGTGTAGAGTATAATGTTTTATTTTTTATTAATGTTGAAGTATTGTATTGTATACATGTATATTATATTTTTTTCATTCACTTTTGTGAATAAGAGTAGAGGGCGTGTTGTACATGTTGTGGCACTAGTGTCGAACGAGGGCATTAGGCAACTGGCGAAGGTAGCAGCGTGTGCTACTGTTTCTTGCTTTGTATCTCGTGTCACGTGGGATTCGACAATCGACATGACTAGGACGAAGATAGACAACAGGATCAGGATCCTGATAGAAAATGGGATCAAGCTGAACCACAGGACTATGTTCGTCGTCGTCGGTGACAAGGGCAGGGACCAAGTTATGATCTTGCACCACCTCCTCACCAAGGCGACTGTGAAGGCGAGACCTTCCGTCCTCTGGTGCTACAAGAAGGAGCTGGGCTTCACAAGCCACCGGAAGAGACGGATGAAGAAGGTCCAGAAGAAGATCAAAGGCGGGAAGATGAACATCAACGAGGACGATCCGTTCGAGCTGTTCGTCGCATCGACCAACATCAGGTATTGCTATTATTCCGAGACGCAGAAGATCCTCGGGCAGACGTTCGGCATGTGCGTCCTCCAGGACTTCGAAGCCATTACGCCAAACTTGCTGGCCAGGACGATAGAAACAGTGGAAGGTGGAGGTGTTGTCGTCTTGCTCCTGCGCTCATTGACATCATTGAAACAACTGTACACGATGTCGATGGATGTACATGAGAGGTACAGGACCGAAGCGCATCAAGACATCGTTGGCAGATTTAACGAAAGATTTTTGCTTTCTCTTTCATCGTGTCAGAGGTGTCTTGTTGTCGATGAGAAACTCAACGTCCTTCCGATATCCTCACATGTCTTTGAAATATCCTGCATGGAGGAGAAAGTGAAAACATACCATAATCCACAAGAGCTTGAGTCTTTAAAAGAAGCATTGAGAGACACTCAACCTGTCAGTAGTCTAGTGAATTGCTGTAAGACTTTAGATCAAGCGAAAGCCGTTTTGAAATTTATAGATGCAATAAGCGATAAGACTTTGAAATTCACCATATCCTTGACTGCGGCTCGAGGTCGGGGAAAGTCAGCAGCAATGGGCCTTGCTGTTGCGGGCGCGATTGCTTTCGGCTATTGTAACATTTTTGTAACTTCACCATCTCCGGACAATCTTAAAACTTTTTTTGAATTTGTTTTTAAAGGGTTTGATGCTCTGGGATACCAGGAACACATTGATTATGGTTTAGTGCAATCTTTAAACGCCGATCATAACAAAGCGTTGATTCGAGTCAATGTTTTTAAGACGAACAGGCAGACTATACAGTACATCAACCCTACAGATGCTGTTAAATTGAGCCATGCGGAATTATTGGTCATTGATGAAGCCGCTGCGATACCATTGCCTTTCGTGAAGGATATGTTTGGCCCTTATTTAATATTTTTATCATCTACGATTAATGGCTATGAAGGAACCGGAAGGTCTCTGTCCCTCAAGTTGCTACAAGAATTAAGAAATCAGTCAAAAAGTACAGAAGGCAGTAATTGGTCAGGAAGAACATTACAGGAAATAACACTAGACGAATCAATCAGATACAGTCCTAACGATTCGGTAGAACAATGGCTCACTGATTTATTATGCTTAAACGCCTGCAACACAGAACCGTCATGGAGCGGAATCCCACCGCCTACCGAGTGTGAACTCTATTACATAAATCGTGACACTTTATTTTGTTATCATAAAGCCTCGGAATCGTTTCTTCACAAAATAATGGCTTTGTATGTTTCGTCCCATTATAAAAATAGCCCTAATGACTTGCAGCTAATGTCAGACGCTCCAGCCCATCATTTATTCTGCCTTTTAGGCCCAGTAGATCCTAAACAGACAACTCTGCCAGAAGTGTTTTGTGTTATTCAAGTGTGCCTTGAAGGTCAGATATCTCAACAGTCTGTTGGTGATGCGATGTCACAGGGCAGGAAGCCGACTGGCGATTTGATACCCTGGACTGTTGCACAGCAGTTTCAGGATAATGATTTTCCTGCATTATCAGGACTGAGAATTGTCAGAATAGCGACTCATCCTGATTATCAATCCATGGGGTACGGATCGAGAGCATTGTCCTTATTGAAATCATACTACGAATTGAAGTTTCCTATTTTAGAAGAATCAAATGTTGAATTGGAAAAAACAAAGGATGATCAGTATAATGATTTATTAGAGGAAGAAATAGCACCGAGATCAAATTTGCCTCCGTTATTAATTAAACTGACAGAGCGCTCACCAGAGAAATTAGATTATTTAGGCGTTGCTTACGGACTGACTTCTCCTTTGCTTAAATTTTGGAAAAGGGCTGGTTTTATTCCAGTTTATCTCAGGCAGACCTCAAACGACCTTACAGGGGAGCATTCTTGCATTATGCTTAAAATTTTACAAACGTCTGAAAATAACTCACCTTGGCTTTTTCAATATTGGACTGATTTTAAAAGAAGATTCGTTTCTTTGCTTTCTTACCAGTTTAGAACTTTCACAACAACTTTAGGCCTCGGTGTATTAATGAATGAGAACTGCAGCCTGCCAAAGGAAACGATATCAAAAAATGTCTTAGATATATATCTGACCAAGTACGATTTGAAGAGGTTAGAGCTTTATTGCAACAATTTAGCCGATTATCATCTCATCATGGATTTGATGCCAACTGTAGCAAGGTTGTTCTTCCTCGATCAGTTAGGCCATACAAAATTCACCGCGGCACAGTCTGCGATTCTCCTTGGGCTGGGCCTGCAACACAAGACAGTCGATGACATTGCAAAAGAACTCGATTTGCCCACAACACAATTGCTCGGCCTTTTCAACCGATCGATGAGAAAGATCCAACAATATTTTCTGGGCATAACGGAACAAGAAGTAGTGAAAGACCTAGGACTCGACAACGTTAAAGAAAATGGCAAAGAAAACATGACTATCGAACCTCTGGCCGAAGAGCTTGATGCTGCGGATCGTGCTATGAAGAAGAAACAAAAGAAAGAAAAGAAAAAAGATGAGAAATCCTTTTTAGAACAATCCTACACGATTGAGAACGATGATGAAGATTGGGACAAAGCCTTGAATGGAAATGTCCCAAGCATTGTCTCGGTGAAGAGCAACAAACCGACCAATGTTCAAGAATTCCAACCACCAAAGAAGAAAAAGAAATTTAATAAAAAGTTTTAAAAAACATCTGTGAATATATATTTGTATATATTTTGACTATATGTAAAAATTATAATTTGTGCCTTTTTGTACAATAAATTATATTGTTTGTTTTATGATGTCTGTTTTCATTCACCTACAAAGAAATAGTGTTCTTTTAGTGTTTTATTTTTAATTTTAAACATGGAATTAAAACATACGTCTTATTCAAATTTGTTGTGAATATCAGATATTTCTGTGGTTTTTAAAAATAATAAAATAAACACATTATTAACAGTCATATTGCATGTTTTATGAATTTACACCCATCATCAGCAATATTGTATAGTATTAAATTACCTGGATGGGTGTAAATTCCCAAAGCATTAAAATGTAAATGTTAATAAATGATGATTTTACTGCTATTTAAAAAAAACCACATGGAAATTTTATATTAACCAAATAAAGTTCATTCTCTTGGGTGTTCAAAGCACTAGACCAACCACTAAGGTGGAGAAAAGCAATAAGTTGCAAAAATAAACATTTATTATTTTCAATTAATTATTCTTTTAACGTAAGATCTTGGTTGAAGATGAAGTTAGCATCATGAGCGGGATTTGTACCCACGACCTTCAGCTCAATGCGCTGCTGTTCTAACCACTTGAGCGGTCATGACCGATCCACTTGACACCAATTCCCCATCTCAACCTTCTATCTTTTGATTTTTCCCTCTTTTTTGCCATTTTTCAAATGTGTAATCAGGATTTGATTCTCAGCGACTGGTGAAGTGGCCACGGGGAGTTGTTAGTGAAGTGATACTTCTTTTACTTATTAAATATTAATCCATTTATTTCAATTAATTATTCTTTTTATGTAAGGTCTTGGTTGAGATGAAAAAGTGTCACGAGCAGGATTCAGACCCACGACCTTTGGCTCAATACGCCACTGCACTAACCACTTGAGCTATCATGACTTTTAACCACTCAGACTACTCCCCTAACCTACAACCTTTCGACTTTTCCCTCTTTTTTGTCATTTTCAAATGTCATGTAATCAGGATTCGATTTTCGAGTGGCCACAGAGAGCTGTTAGTGAAGTGATACTATTGTACTACTATATATTAAATATTAATTCATTTAAATGGGGAAAAGTCAAAAGGTTGTAGGTTGAGATGGGGAGTTGGTGTCTGAGTGGATCGAAATCACGATAGCTCAAGTGGTTAGAGCAGCGGCGTATTGAGCCGAAGGTCGTGGGTTTGAATCTCGCTTGTGTCACTAACTTTTTCATCCCAATCAATACCTTACATTAAAAAAAATTAATTGAAAGAAGTAATTTGGTCAATTAGACCACCAAACAAATGGATTTATTATTTTTTTATATTTCAAAATTATTTTATCATGTCAGATAGCCAAGCAGCCATCAAAGTGCTAAATTCAAACATCATTAGCTCAAAGATGGTGCTATATTGCAAAACTAAACTAAACAAAAATGTCACCCTCTGCTGGGTTCCTGGACATATGAGAATAGAAGGCAACGGGAAAGGGGATGCCCTTGCAAGAAGGGCTGCTAGACCGCTGATTGGACCTGAGCCCTTCTGTGGTATAAGAATCCACACTATCAATGAGTACCTCAGACAGAAGGATAAAAAGAAAATAAGGTAACAATATAACTCACTCATTGCACTCAAACAATACTTTAACGTCTTAATGAACTTTGGAAGGAAAGAACAGAATGCATTAAAGGAAGGAGGAAAAAATTGTGAATCCTAACAGGATTCTTAACAGTAACTGCAAACTGAAAGAACATCTAAAGATTGGATAACCCAACACGGCAAGTGCAGGTTCTGCAAAGAAGCAGAGGAAACACTAACACACCTACAAACAAACTGTGGCGCTACACTTGCCCGCAGGAGGAAGTCTTTTGGGTCGTACAATGTAACCGTAGAAGATTCAACCGCTGAAATGGCCTACTGATCGAATTCCTTGATTTACTAGGAAACCCAGCTTTAAAGAGCGCAGTATAGTAACACCCTGAGTCAAACATCTACATGTACATCTAAAGCCATGCAAAAAAGTTTATTAAAGAAGAAAAGTAGAAACTATCGGCAGAACTACTAAACCAAGGTTGTTAGGCTCATGCACTAGAATGGGAATAGAACTGCAGACTTCAAAGACAAATGTAAAGATGGAGTTGATGAACTCACGCTAAACTGGCACTCGGTCACTTATTGAGTCTGTCTTCAGCCGTGGGTTTATTCGGCATTATGCCATCTTCAGTGAGGAACTGTCTGAGTAGGGCTTATATGTCGCTGAGTCCACTGGTTGTTCCGGTAGGGATTTTTAGTGTCGATTAAAATTTCTATTTCAATATCAACATTTCGATATGTACAAGAAAACTTGTCACACCGTCTTGGGGAAAATTTATAAGAACAAATGGTTAATTTTGAATTAAATTGTGAATAAGCAGCATTCGGGTTGACTAACTCCAGAGGGAGAACTGGCGAGGTAAGAGAATGCTTAGCTGGTTTTACAGGATTCATAACACGTTTACTACATTAAAAACAAAACAAAAAAAACTTGAATTATAATTGATTTTTTTAATGTACACATTTCTCTTTATTTATACATTGCTAATTAAAGATGAACATCAAAATACAAGTTTTAAGTAACATTGATAGAAATTGTATAAATATAAAAAAGTAAAGCTTGATATAGCTATCACAAGGAAACAGAATGAAAAGGAATTCTTTTAGCGAAAATCCATCATATCACGTATAAATTATTATATAACTGACACCTATTTTTTATACAGAACAGAAAATTTGATCATAAAAGATTTTATGTGTTTTATTATTCAATATTCACAAAAATATTCAAGGCACTTTTGACATTATATAAATTAGTTTAATTTTATATAATTACTGAGATCTCGATTTGCATCTAGGTATGCACAAGGAACCATCAATTGCCTGGCAGCTATCAGGGGGAAAAGAAATATTTTTTTCCGCTCGATGTAATTCTATGTAGCACTTCATTTACATGCAATATCACAATAAATTATATTTACATTGCCCTCATGGGGCTAAGGGTTTTTAGTAACAGGAAGTAACTAGGTCAACAATCGTCGATATAATTTTTTTCCCTTTAGGATGTTTTTGAAGATTCATCTTCGGTTCTTTGATCTTTTCGTCTAAAAGCATAAGAAGCTCAGATTTTATCGTCTCCAACAATTCAGCTGTCTATAATAAAATATGTTTATTTTTTTCACAATTTCAGCATAGATGAACAATGAATATGACTTACCTCATTCGAAGGAACGGGGAAAATAATCCAACCATCGTCTAATGAAATAAAAAATTCATCGCAATTCAATTCCACTTTGATTTTTCCTGCAGAAAACAGTACCAACGGTAGAATGGGAACCATAGTACAGTCTCTAATGTATATTTTCCCTGTTTTGACTTTCTCCTGATAGACCAAGTAAGGGCTCGGGTAATTGCTGACATTGCTATTGACGGATGTTGGATGGATGGAAACCTTTAACATAATAATTTAACGGTTCATTGTGGAAGGTTGAATATATGCCAACATCTGAAAATCTGTTGTAAATGTTCAATGTAAAAATCTTTAATTAAAGACTTTTTATCTACTGACAATCGGTTTAACATTCTAACCCTTACTGCTCTTATCTCAAATATAAACAATACATAATAAATACAAAATTTGATGGTGATTGCAGTCTGTTAGTCAGGGACCGGCCCAAGGTTCTACAACCGTCTTTATGTCTGATTCATTCCCAAGCTTCCAAGGCACAGAAGTCCCTTCTTCTCTTACAGTTTTTCCTCTTATAAATAAGTTATCTTGATGCAATTGATATCAGTCTTTATATTATAATTTTGTATTAAAAAATCAAGGATAAGGCAAATTTGAAAGAAAGAAAAACAGTTCCTTCATTAAGCAAAAATTAGGAATCTGAACACTCTTGATCAAGGTATGGTCTTGAATAAAAAAGCAAATTCAGTTGTTATGCCAAGTTTTCGACCTATTTTAAGATCATCATCAGGGCAAAACAACCTTAAATATGTCTACAGATTGATATATTTAAGTTTTGTCACGGGTTCCATGGCTGGGCACTGCTCTTTTTCATCCCAGGGAATAGTGACCCTATGAGATAACCAGTCTGGTTGGCAACAACAAACTAATAAGGCTTGAATGAAAATTCGAAAGACATAATAAAATAAAATAAACGGAAACTTATATTAACTTAAAACAATTTAACACTCAGTTGCAATTTAAAACTTTGTATTGGCCAATTCACATAAAAATAATAATAAAAGAATACACATATCATGACCAAAATAAACAAAACTTCACTTATAAAATAAAAACTTAAATAAAAGTTACAATTACTTAAGGTTTTTAGTTGAGAGAAAAAAGTCAATGGCACGAACGGGATTCGAACCCACGATCTTCAGCTTGATATGCCGCTGCTCTACCACTTGAGCTATTGTGACCTCTTGAGGTGGTTCAAAAGCGGCGTATCAAGCCGAAGATCGTGGGTTCGAATCCCGCTCGTGCCATTGACTTTTTTATCTCAACTAAAAACCTTAAGTAATTGTAATATATTAATTGGTCAAGCGGACCATGAAATTAGTGAACTAAATAAAAGTTTGGCCTGATTTTCACAGTTGAACTCGACGCTCAGAATCCTCTGTAGCTCCTCGCAATTTCCTCAGTTTTCTTTGGTTTTCTCAGACGCCTTCGAGATCCTCTGGAGTCACGTGACCCAACGAAAAATGATCTTTTTTTCCTTTTCCTGTCCATCCATGGCTTGCCTGTACTTGCTGGCCAGCCCCTCTCCTCATAACTGCCCCAGCAGGGATCTCATCCCCCTGAGGGTTTAGTTATTTTCCCACTCAAAGAAAAATAACGTGGTGCCTTATGAATTCTTTGATCTCCAAGCTGGAAGCCACCTAATCTCCATTAAGCTTTGCACATCTGCTGCTCAGAGCCAGGAGAATTCTGAGCGTAAAATTTGATGGATAGCCAGGTCAAAATGTTCATTAAGGAACAAATTACAAATACAAACAATTTAATCATCTATGATCATGTCTACCCATTCTTGTAGGTTCAAGAGACCAACCTCTGAAGATAAATGTGGTCGTAGACCAAAGTAATCAAAGATAATCAAGCTACAATTTTAAAGAAAAAAAAAAAAATTACCATTAGCTATATGGTATATTTATTATAGGATAGATCTAATAAAACCTGGAGATGAGTGAATTTTTAAAGACAGAAAAATATAATAGGGGCAGTGACAAAATCCTCTACAGTTAGGGGCAGGAATGCATACTCGATAATATTTGTACTTAAGTAAAAAAATACATACATAACCGTCTGTTTTTGTTTTGAAAACAAGCTCTTCTGGCCTTAAAGGTTGTGGTACAGCTCCTGCTATACTCTCTTGAAATGTTTTAGTGGGTGTTAATATTTTCACTATATTTGGGTATAAAGAAGCACACAGTATTGACGCTAACAGTTTCTGATTTTCTCCATTTACATTCAACTGCGAACAAATAAAAACTTATTAAACAGTACAACTTTAATTAAATTGTTTTATTACAATTAAATTTTTTTTAAAAATACCTCAGGTCCTGTCATATGAAATATTCTGTCTACACCGGGTCTTCTGACTATTTCTAAATTACCAGGGACGAAGCCAATATCACCTAAAAGCTCTAGGTATTGCAGTTTCATATCTGCAAGGGTGGATAGAGTCCGTGTCGATAGGTAGTTAACTTTAGCAAAAGACACTCCACCTCTCATTCCTTTCGTTTCGATAGCTTTCAACCAGCCCTGTTTAAATTATTGATAAAAATTAAATAAACAAGTTTTTTAAATAAAAATAATAATTAAGGGAAGTACAAACTTTATAAGCATTTAGGGTTGTTAAATGATCACTGAACCCGGTGACAAATTTTTTTCTTTTAATATCGATATCCTCCCTTTTTCGTATGTGTGTGATAAAAGGGGTTTTATAAGATAAAAATGCTGCTATGGTCAATGCAGAATCCAATGCGCAAAACATCGCCCCATAGAGTAATAATTTCCCAATTCGCACATCGACTGGAAGTGATGCTAAATGTTTTCCTAAAGGGGTGACGTTGGCCTGTTCGTCGAGGGCGCCGATGTTCTTCAATCTCTTAACTGCACCTTCTACGTTTTCCATAGAAGGCGGCTCGATTATATTGTTAATGACGGGTTCTAATTGTTTATTTTCAAAATTCGGCAGTGTTTTAATCCTCAATATAAGCGCTTCTAGTGGGACGCGCCTTATCTCAGGGACGGGCTGAGGTTCGAGTACGTACTCGAAGCGGTGTTTTGTAAATAGATGGAAACAAACTCCAGGCATCACTCGACCCGCTCGACCCTTTCTCTGTTGTGCATTGGCTTTTGATATTGTAACCATTTCCAAACTCTCCATATTCCTATTCGAATCAAACCTGAAAAAAAAATCAGGTTATTTTTAAAACAGTTTGTGTATTATTTGTCTTACCCTTTTTCTTTCATCTTCCCACTATCTATTACAAACACACAATCATCAATTGTGATAGATGTTTCTGCTATATTTGTGGATAAAACAATTTTTCTTTCACCATGTCTTGGTTTTCTGTGAAATCAAAGTTTATCTTGAAAAAAGAAATATTGCTATTAATTTTTTTTAATGTATAAAAGTTACCTGAAAACTTCCGATTGCTCTTCATTAGTCAGCGTTGAATGCAAAGGTATTAGTTTAAATTCATTAGAATTACAAAATAACGGATTTGCTTCAAGCCTTGCCATCATTTCTTTGATCTCTCCAATTCCAGGAAGAAATACCTAAATGCGTTAAAATTAAAAATTTGTCGACATTAAATTTTAATGTTGGATAAGGGATATACCAATATAGCTCCTTCTCTCGGGTATTTATGATCTCCTGTCACGATGTACTCCAGCACTGTTTCAATAAGTTCAAGATTGACTCTCAGGGTATCGGTTAAAAATATAGTTTTGCAAACGTTTTTTGAGTGAGCTATAATAAGAGCGTAAATTGAGTAAATCAAAAGGCAAAGGGATAAGCGAACTTACACCAGTAGCGATAATACACTTGTTTAACGGGTAAAAATTCATCCTGAGTGTCTAAGTTGGGGATCAACATGCCTTTCACAGACACGGTTTTCAAGTCGTCGCATTCGTCAAGAATTTCCAATTCCCTGCTCTGTTGCTTAGCAATTTTACGAGAAAACTCTGAATATTCTTCCAGAGTGTAGTTTGTCCTGAGTATAATATCTTCAAGGAACAGCTGTTCCACAGGGAATGTCCTTCCTAGTAAAATAAAAAAGATCAGATTGAAATTTGAGAGAAAAAATGAAGAGTTAAATATAAATTTATTAACACTCCTGGAAATAGCACATTGATGGTTAATGTTAGCCAATCCCCTGCCAAGTAAAAGTTAAAGGAGGACGCCTATTGGCCCTGAATCCTTTTTTGTTATACCAACTGCCAAAAACACGGAAAGACAAATAAAAATAAGTCCTCTGTTCAATAGGAATATGGCCCCAGGAAAAAAAACATGCAAAAAAGTCTATCAAAGGACCATTGCAGAAAGTAACAGCAAAACTACTACATCTAGGACATGCTAGGACTAGAAAAATAGTTGGACTGTTAACTGGACACTGCAGACTCCAGAGGCAGATGTATTTTTTTTTTTTCAATGGATACCAGGAACTGGAGGAGTTCCGTCCTGAGCACTGCAGCATACAGTTTATTGTACTTTATCCCTGGCTCAATTTTTTGGGGGAGGGCTCGCAAACACAAATGTGAACTTGAGCCCCCATTGTACCGGTGTTCTTCCATTGAAGAAACTCATTTTTGAAGGGGGTTGGGACCAAATTCAGGGTTGCTGAGATCTGATCCCGCTCCTTCTATTGATGAGTGCTGTGTCAATTTCTTTCAATTGTGGCCACCGGTCCCCTCAGAAAAAGTCCAGAAGCGACTGTGGGGGTCGAACCCACGACCGCGGGATCTACTAGCAGAGAGTCTGATGCCTAAACCACTTGGCTACCGCAGCCCAATATGTGCAGATATTGCCAAAAGAAGAAATGGTGGAACATGCCCTCTGTTGATGGGAAGACCTATGTAGGCTTGTAGGCTGAGATGCTCTTGAAAAAGCTTTGGGATCTGGTAAAAAGTCTTAAAAAATAAATAAATAAATGAAGATAAATTAAAAAATAATAAAAATAAAAACGGACAGCCATGGCGGACCTTTTTAGACCCAATATTTTTTTAAAAATGTTTGTGTATGCACATAGGCAACTTATAAATAAAACTTTTCATGTGTATGTACTATTTTATTTACAATATAATTTTACTTTTTATAAAAAATTTCAATGATTACCGCATAAGAATTGCTTGCATTTGTCACATCTGAGGAAAGACAACACCAACCGTCAAGAAAAATGTTTTGTTCTTCTTCCTGTCTCCGAAACTCTTTCAAACTATCATCCGTGCAAGTAGGAACAGAGTTTTTACAATTTTTATGCAAAGAAGGTTAAGAAGAAAAATTAGTATCACGAGCGGGGGATTAATTTTTTTCCAACCGTCTTTGCATTGTAAATAATCATTAATAATAAAAAGATAACTGATTACATAATTAAAAAGGTGAAACTTTAGGGTGAACGGAAAACCAAGGATAATAGAAAAAAGTATGAGATTAGGGTGCAAGTAGTAAGGCTAAGCTTTTTTTCTCACCTGAGTGAATAAAGTGACAATAACAATTGTACTTACAAAAAAAGGAAAAAACAATATTGAGGAGTTCAATGCTTAAAACCCTAAGAAGCTCTGGCAGAAGGGAAAAAATTATATTAAAAAATTATATGAGAGATGGGAACATGTATTAGAACAAAATGGTTAATACATTATTGATTAAATTTGGTTATAAATATTGCCAGGAAAAAGAAGAAACTGGTGGATCTTTTCAGACCCAATATTTTTTTTTCAAGTTTTAAGTTCTGGTAGAAGGGAAAAAATGATATCAACGAGGCAACATGTAGTAGAACAAAATGGTTAATACATTATTGATTAAATTTGGTCATAAATATTGCCAGGAAAAAAGAAGAAACTGGTGGATCTTTTCAGACCCAATATTTTTTTTCAAGTTTTAAATTCTGGGAGAAGGGAAAAAATGATATCAAAGAGGCAACATGTAGTAGAACAAAATGGTTAATATATTATTGATTAAATTTGGTTATAAATATTGACAGGAAAAAGAAGAAACTGGTGGATCTTTTCAGACCCAATATTTTTTTAAAGTTTTAAGTTCTGGTAGAAGGGTACAAAATGGTTAATATATTATTGATTAAATTTGATTCAAATACCTAAATTTTCAATGATAATTTGCCATTAAAAAAATGCTAAGGACTTATTTTATAACCTGATATAATATGAATTGACCACTATACCTGGTATTTCAATTGTAGGCGCATCGTTAAAATATTCTTTGAATAGATGCGAATTGATTGTTGCACTCATCAGGATGACTTTCAGATCGGTTCTTATCGTTAACAAATCTTTAAGAATCAATAGTATAAAATCACTGAAATAAGAGATATTGATGCATTATAAAGAATAGCGGAATTATTTCAATTGTTAAACACCTTTCAACACTTCTTTCATGAACTTCATCGACGATCACGTGAGTTACTGATTTCATGTGAGGATCGCTTTCCAATTTCCTTAGTAAAATACCTGTAGTGCAGAAAGTAACTCTTGTATGGTTCGATGATCTCGTCTCAAGGCGAATCTGAACAATAACAACAATAATAATGTAACGTAAGTGCTTAAATGTTCATTGATCGTACTTGGTATCCTATGCTGTCACCGATGCGCTCGAGCCTCTCTGAGGCTACTCTTTCGGCGACCCCTATGGCTGAAATTCTTCTGGGCTGAGTGCAAATTATCTCTGTGTGTTTGTTGCTTCTGCTTGACAGCCAATCGTCAAGAATAAATTGTGGAATCTACAAAATCACAAACAATTAATCAACTGATGTGATCATTTTTATGACTTATTGAGGTTATTTATTCATTATTATTTTATCTTTTTTGGTAAATACATTCAAAGACAAAAAAAAGTTTCTGGCATTTATTTGTTCAGTTTCCGTAATAACTAGGTATAAAGATTGATAGTTGATTTAAAATGTAAACACAACATTAATAACTTGTTTACATTTATAGTGTTACTAATCATTTTACACTCGTCAAATTAAAATAAAGAAAATTTATCAATTTTTTAAAAATTTGATGAAACAATAAATTTTAGTAAAAAAAATCCCCCCCCCCTAAAATCATGGTTTTAAGTGGAGAAAATATCACCAAGGCAGATGTTTTGGGATTTAGCGCCCCTGCAGCCAAAGTCCTGGATGTGCCAAACTCTTGACTCTACCATCCATGATGGTCTTCAGCAGTTTAAGGCCACTGAAAGTGTCAATGAAACAAACAGAAGTGTACGACACATAGATACGTTTTTTGCTCTTACTGCACTAAGCAACCGTTATTTAATGGATTCCTTGATATGAATATTATATACCTATATATGGCACAGTCAACTCCAAACATTCCGTAATGTAAGGGTGAAATCTGAAAACAGTCATCAGAAGGCTTCGTAAGAATAGCTTAGTCTCTAGACATGAAAGGTTCTGTATTACTGGAGAGGTATCAAGTAAAAAGAAGACTATTTACAAATCAGCATCTCACTTGGATGCTTGAACAATGGGGGGGGGGGGTTGTTGCCACAGATGAGTTTTAGTTTGTGGCAACAGATGAGTGGGTGCCATAGCAAAAAATAAAGGGTATAAATTATTCAATTAATTACGGTTTTAAGTTGAGATAAAAAGTCAGTGTCACGAGCGGGATTCGAACTCACGACCTTCGGCTTGATACGCCGCCATGGAGAGCAAATTTCAAATTTCATTAAATTCACTATTTTTGTGGTCCACTTGACCAATTAATCATTCAATTAATTACAGTTTTAAGTTGAGATAAAAAAGTCAGTGTCACGAGCAGGAAAACTGTAATTAATTGAATGATTAATTGGTCGAGTGGACCACAAAAATAGTGAATTTAATGAATTAAAATGAAGTATACCTCACTAAAGCTCTCCATGGCCATTTCACCTGTCACCGAGAATCAAATAGATTACACGACATTTGAAAAATGGCAAAAAGGAGGGAAAATTCAAAAGGTGCGGTTGAGATGGGAAGTTGGTGCCCAACGGGATCGAAGTCACAATAGCTCAAGTGGTAGAGTAGCGGCGTATCAAGCCGAAGGTCGTGGGTTCGAATCCTGCTCATGACACTGACTTTTTTATCTCAACTTAAAACTGTAATTAATTGAATGATATAATTGGTCAAGCGGACACGAAAAATAGTGAATGGGTATAAATTATGTATAATTTATTAATAGAAAATTATTATCGATGTTTTATTTATCTCGACTTACTGCTCATGCTTTCGATGGAATATACAATTTACCTGTCAGATCATTGAGTAGTGTGGGAGAAGAAACTGAGAACTTTCTGCTTTGTGTGCCATGTTTGAGTTACAGCCCTTTTCAAAGACAGTCAGTTATGGGATGGAATCAATGTCCATGCCCATACTGAACTGATTATCATACAGTATATCTTTGATTTCACTAAGAAACACTGAGGAAGTTATTATGGAAGCTATGATCCCAATTGTCCATTTACTGTTAATGTATGATACTCCACCACATGTAGCTTGAGTTGGATGTACCTTACCCATCACTTGGATGTAAGGATAACCACAATGAATCAGCCAGCACGTTCTTCTGATCCTACAGAACTTACGCTACATGATAAAAAGATCAGCTGCCTTCTCCAATAAGTGATTAACAACTTAACAAGTTTTTGAAGGATGGCATTGAGTTTAACAAGACAAAATCCCATTGCTATTTACTTGAAGCCTAGGGGACTTGAGGCCCTCCGCAAAGCTAGAGGAAGTAGGACGCGTTATTAAGAACCAAACCAGGTTAAATTTTAGTCTATCAGTAAATGATTTTCCGGTGTTTTCGTGTGAATTTTCTTTCAAACCATCATAATTAAAGAATTTTGATTAAAATTCATGCATTTCTCATCTAGTTTAATTTGATTTATATTAAAATAACTATGTTGTAATTTATATAACGATAAAACTACATAGTTTGAAGTAAACAACAAAACATGAGTTCCTGGTTTTTTGTCTTTGAGTGTATATTAAAAGTTACCTGAGTTGATTTCCCGCATCCAGTTTCCCCGCTGATAATAACTACTTGATTTTTATTAATTGTGTCAAGTAACTCGACTTTTTTTGACCAAGCTGGTAAATTCTTCCTCCGATTTAAAATAGCATTAAATTTAGGGTTATTACACATCGTTTGGTATCTATTGGCCAATTCGTTGTCTATCCTTTAGACAAAGTATAAGATCTTATTTTCCTAAAAAAAAAAAAAAAAAAGTACGTAAAAAAGAGATAAAATATACAAACCTCTCTATGGTTTGTAGAGATGGCCCAGATTTTTTACTAGGCTCACTACTGCTGTACATAAAATCAACATCGTTTTCATTTTGACCATTTGCCAACTGGCCATCTGGTGAGGCTACAGGAAACAACGATAACGATGGGTCATAAAAAATTGGGTTTGGTCCCTTTAGAAGATTGAGAATTTCTTCTTGCCTATTGCACAACAGGTCTACCAGTATGAAAATACAAGGTTGCTGGAGTTTCATGCTTTTGTGAGCCTCGCACATCAATCTGTGTGTTATCCGTAAACAAGTGTTTGCTGGGAAATCTGAAGATTTAGATATTAGCGATACTAGAGGCACTTCCAAGGGATATTGGCATCCTAAAAGAAATAAATTTAATAAATGTTTACTCATTACTAAATGAACAACTGTAAATGAAAAAATGTTAAAATTACCCATAGGAAATCTAACTTCTAATTCAAATATATGCTTCTGGTCCTTATCTAATGTTGCCGAGACTGGTTCCTCTACCACAGGTTCATGAGAGAACCTACAATTGTTGCCGAACCTGCAGTTCCCTTTGGCAAAGAATCTACATATATTTTTATTTTTCTTTCTGCCCAAATTTCTGCTTGTTTGTCTTCTTTTCATGTACACCTCACCGAGGTAAGGTAAATTTAAGTGAAAAACCCACAAGACGTTGGGCAATCTTTCTTCACAACACTGATCGTAAATTGACCTTAATGAGTCCAGCTCTTGGGTCCTCTCTTCGAGAAGATTTACAGGCACTTCTTTAACCTCAGAAGGGACTAGATTAAAATAGCGACACATTAGAATTTCGTACGCACTCCCGACATCACCATTCGAAGCATTTAATGCCTCGATGCAATGTGGTTTGAAAAAACCATACCTGACACAAAAAAATAACAAATAAATAATAATTACATAAGATTTCATATTATTATGCAAATAACTCACTTTTCTAGTTTAGAAATAGCAAAATGGTTAATTTTATCATCAGACAAATTGCTATCTATGTCTTTTTTAGCATTGCTCTGTCCACCGTGGACAATCAGGTTTCCCCTGTCTCTCCAATACTGTCGATCTAATTTTAACTTCCTATCTTTGTAAGCTGACAGTTCTTTATGAACAAATTCCTGGAAAATAGAGACAAATTTGTTGAATATTATGCAGCACTTAAATGAGAACAGCAATACAATAAAATTGTAATTGATAGCCTAATATTGAATAACTTGATTTTCATTAAGCCTGTTGAGTAGGAGACAAACGTAAATTTTTAAAACATGATGACAAAATTTAAGAAATATATATTTTCTTTACTAAAACTGGACCGACATAATTTATAATTTTACAATTGTCATTATGCCACTAAAATGATTATATTTTTCCCTGGTAATTTCTGAGGAAATTTGGTGCTAGTTGACCTAAAGACAAAAGCACATTTTCTAAATAAACGATCGAATGACATGCCATGACAAGAAAAATAAACAAATGTTCCTCACAATGACTGGTGTAATGTGTTAATCTGCATTTGACATAACTTATGTCAAAAAAACAAAAACAAAACACCATGAAGTGGTTTAACCCCACATCCTCCACACCTAACAGGCATTGGTTAGTTAAGCCTTCCTGTATGAATTCCTTTTACTTTTACTGTTATATCAAATAGTTTATTTGGCCATATGTCAAATGTAAATTTTCAAAATTAATCATCAAGCGGCAAATGACAATAGGTCTTGTGATAATTATAGTTTTTGTACTAAAATTGAACCTACATAACTTTTAAGTGTGCAACTGACATCTGAAACTTCCTCCATGGTAAGAAAATATTGTAATTTTTGAGGGTTATTAGCATCAGTTGATTCATAGATTCAAATTTTCAAAGCTGTGTTGAGAACATGCCATGTATTTTATGTACCAAAATTGCACTGACGTAAACTGTTAAGTCTACAATTGACGCCAGTGACTTTTTCTGACATATTCCTAGGGCATTTTGCCCTGGAGAGAAATGCAATTTTTCAAAATAAGCATTAAGAGACCCTCCTTTATGACATTCCTTTACTTTTACTATCTTATCAAGTACTTTATTTGACCATTTGACAAATGTAAATTTTAACTAACTATAAAGAGACAGCTTTCTGACAGATCTTAAGAAATTTATATTCTTTTCACTAAAACTGGAGTGATATAATACTGAAAGCCAGCAATTGACATTACTGCAGTGAACAAAACATGACACAGTTTCCAAGGGGGGGGGGTACAATTGGGTACAAACGCAAATTTTTAAAATTAAGCATCAGAAAACTTATGACAATAGAATCTTAGGCAATTTGTATTATTTGTACCTATTCAGTGCATAACTAGAAAGTCTGCAATTAATATTGATGAATTTCTCCAGTGCTTTCCTTACTTTTTTTTACCTTGTGACAGCATAGCTTAAGAAGTTTAGATTTTCTGTACTGAAACTAGACTGTTATACTCCAGTGCAAAAATATAGGATGCAATACTCTTATTGTGGTTGTGGTTGATATGCCAGGCTAGTGGTTCCGGGTTCGAATCCCAGCAAAACCATTGTAATCTTAATAGAGAGTAATAATGTGAAAAAAAAGATTGTAAGGTGATTTGAATCCTAATTGGCAACACCCAATAATTATTTTGACATTAAGCCCTTCAGTATAACAAGAATTACTTTTACTGTTATTTCAAGTAATTTTTTTTTAGTCTTATGACAGATGCAAATTTTAAAAACTAACTTTGAAGAGACAGAATGACAACAGATCTTAAAAATAATATATTTTCTGTAATGAAATGTACTGACATATTGTAAGTCTGCAATTGACATAACTAGCTTTCTCTAGTGCAAAAACATGGCACTATACTGTTTCCAAGGGTATTTTGTGCCTTTTGACCTGAAGACAAGGGCAAATTTTCAAAATTAAGCATCGAAAGACTTTAGGATAATAAATAGAATCTTAAACAACAAGTATTTTCTATATGTAATTAATATTCAATAACATTTGTACTAGAATGGTTGCTATAATATCATTGGCTTTCTCCAGTGAAAAGCATGACACAATAGTATTTTGCCCTGGAGGCAAATTCAAATTTTCAACATTAAGCATCAAGAGAATTGACAGCAACAGAACTTAAAAAAATAAGGTTTTCTAGACCATCATAACTAGAGCGTTTGTAATTAATATCACTGACTTTCTCCAGAGCTTTCCTTACTTTTTTGTAGACCTTTTGACAGCTGATTTTAAGAAATTTATATTTTCTGTGCTAAAACTGGATTGCTGTGCTCAAGTGCAAAAATATGACACAGCACCGTTATCATCGACATTCCACCATGTTCCCGCAACTTATATCCAGGAGCCCTAAGAAAATATGGGTCACATCCATTGATAGATCCCACACAAAAACGTTTTTTCCAACCATCTTGTCTTGCCTGAAAGCTCAAATCCCTTGGAAGATGACAAGACAAAGTTCTCATTAGTCAAGGGAAAAACAAGGCTTACTTGCAGTGATTTAATTTAATTGAGGACAACGCGTGTCATTGTCCGATCAATGTCCCCCAAACCTGGGAACATATTAACATATTATCTTGGGCTGCTCAATTTTTGAGCTGCAGCGACATGACCTTTATAACAACAAATTATGTCCAGGCTCTCCCCTCCATGCTGGAGGCAGGAAAGCGAGAACGGATAGTTCAGTCTAGCCTAGGCATTGGAAGAAAAACAATAAGGAAAATCCAGCTGAAAGCCAGTCAAATCAGATTTGTATCCACTTTGATTTTATTAGTATAAATTATTTCTGTTGTGTGGCCCATTTTCATTTATGGTTTTTGTTTGGTATTTTCCATTTTGGTTATCAAGGTTGATTATTTTAATTTTGCCCCTCAGGCCCATATTATTCCCATAGTATCTAATTATTCTTATATTGTTAGTTTGCAAGCAAAGGTTCATGTTTTGTTGTTTTATATTTTTTATATAACGTATCTTGGTTCATAAGGAAATATATTTTTGTTTTAAAAGAAACAAAATAGAGGTGTCTCTCTGCAATTGTGTTCATATTTTATTTCAAATCAAAATTCCTTTGATTTTGAGGCAGATCACCGGCCTCAAGGGGGTTAATCAAACCTTAAAAGACGGAATATACTCATTCCTTAAAGGACCCACAATACCTTCTAAGGGAGACGTTACGAGGGGAGAAAGTTGGATGCCAAAATTGGCAGATTTACCCAAGAACCCTGAGTTCTTCAAATTCATAAAGAAGATTGACTTTGATAATTTGTGATATTGTTTTCTGCATGGTTGAAAATGTTATTTCTTATCAATTTAAATAAACTATAATTTGTTACAGGTTGACTTATTTAAAGTATGCTAATTAATTAAACAAAAATTAAATAAAGTAATTCAAAGTATGTTAATTATTTTTTATTGGTAAATCTGTATATGTATTTGTAGCCAGCAATCATGCTTGAAAGTGGGTACATCATTTAATATTAAAAAAAGTACTGTTTTCAGGACTGTGAAAAACGAGGATTAGGGTATTCAACTTGTTAATGTAGTAGCATTAACCTGGGAACACATCATCCTGGACTGCTCAATTTTTGTTTCATATCTTGGCATTGTCCTTAAAATTTTAATTGGGAATAATTACAATTAATTAAGGTTTTTAGTCGAGATGAAAAAAAGTTAATGGCACGAGCGGAATTCTAACTCACGATCTTCGGCTAGATATGCCGCTGCTCTACCACTTGAGCTATCGTGACCTCGATCCACTCAGACATCAACTTCCTATCTCAACCTCACCTTATGAGTTTCCCTCATAGGAAGTTGATGTCCGAGTGGATCGAGGTCACGATAGCTCAAGTGGTAGAGCAGCGGCGTATCTAGCCGAAGATTGTGGGCTCGAATCCTGCTCGTGCCATTAACTTTTTTTCATCTCGACTAAAAACCTTAATTAATTGTAATGATTTAATTGGTCAAGCAGACCACGAAATCAGTGAATTGGGAATAATGTAAAAAAATATGCTAGCGGCATCCAATGGGCAGTCAGACATTATGCCCTCCTGTATGGCAGGGATTACTTAACTTTTACTGATGGATTATGTACTTTTTTACCTAATGAGAAGTGCAAATTTTAAAACATTCGTAAAAAGATACCATATGAAAAGTATATTTTTGTACTAAACTGGACTGCCATACCAAGACCAAACATGATACAATATTATTATCATAGGTGTTTTTTGCCTTATGACAAATGCAAATTTTGAAAAATGTCGAAGGGCTATGCTGGGATTCAAACCCAGAACTGCTAGTATGGTCATAATGAACTGTGGTGCCACACTTGCCCGTAAAAGAAATTCAACCACTAAACCGGGCCTACTAATCAAGTTCCTTGATGAACTAAGATTTACTGATGTTGATGAACTAAGATTTACTGATGTGCTATATGCTATTGTGATGATAGCTCAAGTGGTTAGAGCAGCGGTGTATTGAGCTGAAGGTCGTGGTTTCGAATCCCGCTCATGACACTAATTTTTTCATCTCAACCAAGACCTTACATAAAAAGTATAATTAATTGAAATAAGTAATTTGGTCAGTTAGACCACTAAACATAAATGCATAAAATATAAATTTCTTCAGATCAGCTGTCATTGTGGAAGTGTATAGGGAGTGTGGTATAATAAAAAAAAACATGGACCACATCCATGATCCACTTTTACAATTAACAACTGTTGGTCTATTATCCTTACATCAGCTGTTATGTTGTGTCTTGACCACTGCTTTTTTTTTTCAACTATTATGCTAGGTAATATTTTTTGGTCTGACAGATGCAAATTTCAAAAATTAAGCATGAGAAGACAGGATGACAGCAGGTGAAAATAATATATTTTCTGTACTAAAACTACACTGACATGTTGTAAGACTGCAATTGACATCACTAACTTACTCCAGTGCAAAAGCATGGCACTGTTTCTTTAGGTATGACAAGTGCAAATTTTCAAAATTAAGCATTGAGAGACTTCATGACAAAAGAATCTTAAGAAATTTGTATTTTCTTTGGAAAATCTGTTCTGACATAACTATAACATACTATCGTTAAGTCATGGATTGTAATGATAGATAATATAATGCAACTTAATGAGAATGAATGTATTTTAGGTATTTTTGAGTACTTTCTCTGTCATTTAAAGAGAAATAAATAGAGAGGCTTTTTTGTCATGAATTCTCGAGTTGTTTAATATGGAAACCCAGGACTGACACGTCGCCAGCATGCACGAAGAATTTTGAACGAAACTCCAACACGAGTGTAACATTCAAAACGACATGAAACATTTAAATTTCCGTCTAAATACCTCTCCATGAAGGAATTTGAGTGTGTCTTGCACTTGTCTCTTCATATCGTCTGACAGTGTGAGACTTTTAAGTTCCACTTTAAGCGAGTAGCGCGGGTCTTCGAAGGTGGCGTCCATCGTTTCGAATCGCTGACGGCGGTCGGTCGGATTAGTAAAAACGAGATGTACGAACAGCGAGCCGTTCGCGATGTAACCGCGTTGTAACCTCCCGGCTGGTTGATAACGATGGCCTCCTTTTCACTAGGAGTCTCAGAGGTGTCTTATGAAAATTTTATGACGTCACATGCAGGGTATTGTCTTTTTTATTCCTCAACTTGCTACCAACGAAAGTATAATAATATTATACTTTAACATTATACTTAATATATAAGAGGATTAGGACATCTATAAAATTAAATTGAGCAGGTATAATTTATCTATGCGTCATATTGACGAAAATGGAAAGCCCTACACAATTATGCATCCGATTTACACATTTTTCAAATCAAATTTACCCTTTTGCCATTTTTTTAACGAGTTTCGCAACAGTCTTCCCTTCGACTAAGACTCAGGGTTTATTTAAGGTCCGTTCCTGCCACTCCCAGTTGTCTGGTGGCGTTCAGAGTTTCTACCTTCAGTCACCTTTCCGTGGCTTCCAGTATTTCCATCTTCAGCCACCCCCCGGAGATGTAGATAAGAGTCGCTCTATCTCCGGCTCCGGTTGGCCGCTACCCTCCGGCTAAGATTAGTAGTTGTTTATAAACCACGACCACCACCAGACCAACCTCAATTGGGGGCTACTTGGAATCACCTCCTCCCTTGGTTCATTATTGTTTTTGAAGTGGGACTGATCGCTCACCCGGGGATTGCTCCTCTACTGATTTCACCCGTTATCCGAGGGGTGAGGGTTCAGTAATCCAAGAAGCCTCCACCAAAGCGGAGGGGGGAATGAAAGGGATTAAGAAAAGGAAAGGATAGGAATTGGAAAGTAGGGGGGATTTGCCTCCATCATTGGTAACCTCTCGATGCCTGAGCTGATGGTGGGACTTGGATGAGTGTTCGCACTTCGCAACAGCAGAGGTCATATGAAACTTCGGGGTGTCGGGTTTTTTGAAAAAAAAAAGCCCATTTGTAAGTATGTGGAGTTCGAATGCAGGGCCGCTGGATTCGAACCCGGGACCTTTACCGTATAGTTGCGCCCACCGACGCCCCCTTTTGTAAATTAAATTCCCTCATTTACAAATCAAATTCATTAGATAAAAATTGGGAACGACGAAACTTGTTTAAATAAAAAAGATTTATATAATTTATTACAGAAAATACTTGGAAATATAAAGTTATAAAAATTATGTTCACGGCTCGAGAGAGATCAGCTTATTCTGGTTTTGTTGACTCGATGGAATTTCTGTTGATTGTTGCAGAAGATACGGCCAGATGGGCCGGAATTCCTCCATCACTAGAGCGGGAATTTCCCTGTAAATACTCGAATTGGAAAATGTTCCTCTCCTTGGGGCAGAATGGTACGGTTACGCGTCCGTTTGATGCGTAAGTTGGAGTGTCATCATAGCCACAGTTAATGATTGGTACGATGAGGTGTTTACCCGAAGTTGTTGATTTTTGTATGAGCGTTTTCCCTTGGAAATTAGTTGACTATTGGGATTTATTAAGGATACTCCTCGTAGTGGTTTGTCTTCGATGATCCCTTGATTTATGATTTTTATATGATCTTCAGTAATAAAAGTTGTTAAATACTGACTAAATTGTGTTATCCAATCCACGTGATTTTCTGAAATTTAAAGTGCTGTGTAGATGTAGAATTTGTTATTACAGTTTTCTAGCAAGTTCGATTAATATTGACCATAAATCGTTAAAACAAAAATGTACAGATGCAATTTTTTATGCACAAGTACTGTTTATTATTTATGATTTGGCAAGAGCATTTAGCGGATTTACATAATTTTCTTAAATTTTGGTAGCTGCAGGGTACATTTCATACAATTGACCATTTATTTCGAACAGTTAGTAATTCCAGTAAATATATAATTTCAGTTGGTTTAAGAATACAATTAACTTCGATTATTTGATAGTATATTATGTTTTCAGGTTTAATTTCAAAGGGTAATTTGCCTTCATAATATGGCAAAATTTTATTTAATTCATGGAATAGTACGGTCGGTGAAGTGATGCTAGGGAGTTTTGTTTTGTTTGGCAATATACAATAGAAATGTCAATATTTTATAATGTGTACAATATGATGTGGTAAATAATTTGAATTTGATTTAAAATGTCACTTGATAAAATACAATCTGTACATTAATAAATTACATTCACACATTCATTCACACTACCCCAGAATATTCGATATTCTTCGGGGTAATTAAGGATAAGCCCTGCTATTCGCTCTAATAAATAACATTCAATTAATTAAGGTTTTTAGTTAAGATAAAAAAGTCAGTGTCACGAGCGGGATTCGAACCCACGACCTTTGGCTAAATACGCCGCTGCTCTACCACTTGAGCTATCGTGACTTGGCTGGAAATGGCAAAAAAAGGGAAAATTCCAAAGGTGAGGTTGAGATGGGAAGTTAGTGTCCGAGCGGATCGAAATCAAGACAGCTCAAGTGGTAGAGCAGCGGCGTATTTAGCCAAAGGTCGTGGGGGTCGAATCCCGCTCGTGACACTGACTTTTTTATCTCAACTAAAAACCTTAATTAATTGAATGATATTAACTGGTCAAGCGGTCCACGAAAACTAGTCGAAGATCGTGGGTTCGAATCCCGCTCGTGACACTGACTTTTTTATCTCAACTAAAAACCTTAATTAATTGAATGATATTAACTGGTCAAGCGGTCCACGAAAACTAGTGAATCTAATAAATAACATGCACACACCCCAATTCATTCACAATACTCCAGAGCACTCGATATTCTTCGAGTAATAGGCCTTTCTATTCACGCAAATAAATACGTTCTAATAAATAACACATATCACATCCATGAAGGTACAAAGATTTATATACAATAAAAAATATTTTTCTGACCCTGAGATATAGGATATAGCATAGATCATTGGGGATGTCGTACTTCTTTCTTTGCAAACTTATGCTAGTTCTTTGCAGTCTGTTATTATGCGCTCTATCGTGATAAGTTCTCCACACCACAGAACCTACGCGGTTTCACCCTTTTTAGATGTCCATGGTGGATGACATGTGCAACCTGGTAATGACTTTTTCCCTTCTAGTGAAGTTTCAATATATTTTATTTTTTATAAGAAAGATATATGTAATATGTAGTTTATTATGGGAATAAACTAGTATAAAGATAGGGTCTGTCAGGATTAAGGAAATGGTTTTGACATTTCATGTCCACTGTAGACAGAAATAGGTGAAAGCTGGCATTTTAAAAGAGGTCGACTTTCTCAGTTGAGACTGATCATGACTTATTGCCCCCATGATGTCAATTTTGAACAAATAACAGCAGGTAAAATTTGCCACTAGCTGAAGAAAATGGCGAAAGCTACCTCGAATGTCAAAACGTAATAGTCATTGCCTTGGATTGAAAAAAAAGGTAAACGAATAAAATACATTTTTTACTCGGAAATCATCAGAAGAAAAGAGACAAATGATACGTGGAATTAACGGTGATTCGACCGGACAAAGTCCGTATTTTCGACTGTACGCCGTGACAAGGCGCTTATAAATGAAGTTATTTTCCACATCACTGGTGGTACGAGTCCATTTCTCTTACATCGGGTTTCAGTATAAAAAGAAATTCTAAAAAAATACACACACTCACAAAAATAAAAGCATCCCGTTGGTCTTAATTGCTATCATAATTTCTACTATTTAATAGCCGTTTCTATGTAAATAAATGGCTTTGGTAATGTATTGCGAAACTTTACGACTTGTTATGCCCAATAAAGAAATAATTTGTTGTCACAACGTGGACAATAATACATGATTCATAATTGTAACGAGCCATAACTAAATACTGCGATTTGCTTTAATGCGAGAATACATCAAAATGAGTTATTTTGATAGGCTCGATGTCATTATACACTGACAGGCGAAAACTTCCAGCCATTTGTAATATAACTTCATTTGTATATATTTTATATATTAATCAAGGTTTCATGTTTTTAACGTGTAATAATTGAGCCTTGTCTAAAAAAGTAAATTGCTAAGGAAAATAAAAAAAGTCGGACATATAAAATTTGTTTTAATTTTGTTTTAAATTTTTAATTTACACTTCAATATCGCCTATTTAATCTTTTTGCCTTAAATACATCTCGAAGACGCCGTTCTACCAGTCAGGAAATGCCTCTTTGCTGGAGGCTAACCCATTCTTAACGAAGAGTCCTTTCAAGAGCGTGGAGTGTATCAGGAAGTGACCTGCTCTTATTCGTCTTTTGAGGTTATCCCACAAATGTTCGATGGGGTTCAAGTCTGGAAAACGGGCTGATGTTAATTAAGAACCTGATGTTATGCTGTTGAAGGTACGTTTGTACTATGCGAGCGACATGTGGACGGACATTATTGCGCATTAGAATCGGATTGTCGCTGATTTCATCGAGGATAGGCAACGCGTGATGTTCCAAAATTTCATCTACATAGCGAGTGGCCGTCAAAGACCTTCCACGAACAACAACCAACTATGTGCGATTCTCCATATTTGTGACATTTGTCGCCGAGAATCAAATAGATTACACGACATTTGAAAAATGGCAGAAAGGAGGGAAAATTCAAAAGGTGGGGTTGAGATGGGAAGTTAGTGGCCGGGTGGATCGAAGTCACGATAGCTCAAGTGGTAGAGCAGCGGCGTATCTGGACGAAGATCGTGGGTTCGAATCCCGCTCGTGACACTGACTTTTTTAGCTCTTATGAAAGTTATTAATTGGTCAAGCGGACTACGAAAACTAGTGAATCTCCATATAAATATCAGCGCACACTGAGCTACGTTGAAAAGGTTGGCCCTGGGATAAATTACAGGCTTCGTACTTTTCATTTCGCCTTCTCCACACTCTTTCACTTCCACCTGGAGATCGTAGATCAAATTTACTCTCCTCTGTAAAAACGTATACCAGACCAATCGTCTCAAGGGCATTGACTGTTTCGAACAAATGCGAGCCGTACAACTCTGTGTTCTGGTCAATTCTGGTCCTCTTACGGCGAAAAGCCATACCGATTTAATCTTCCTCGAGCAGTGCGTTCAGAAATTTGGGCACCTTGA